GTAGTCGATCCATTGGCGGTAGACCCCTTTAGGGAGGATGCATGGGGAGATGACATCGCGGTAGACGAGGCTTTGGACGATGCCTTGGTAGATGTGTCGGTGCCGGCAGTTGGAGTTGTAGTAGGAGTGTGAGCTGCCGGAGACGATGCCTCTGGAGACGACGCCTTGGGAGACGCCTGGGAAGATGACACCCTGCTGGACGCCTTCGAGGCTGATTTGGACGGCGATGGAGTGGAATGGCTGGCTGCAGAGCTCGACTTGGAGGCTGCAGGAGACGACTTGACGGTGGACCTTGCTGGAGAGGACTTGACAGTCGATCCTGAAGGAGACGATGCTGGCGTCGACTTCGGGGTCTGGCTTGCAGGGGTCGAGCTCCGAACCGAAGTCTTAAAAGTCGAGGCACGACTGGATCGTGGACTAGGCGTAGGACTGCCCAGGTCGACAGTCGACGAGTCAATGACGACCGCATCGCTCGCCAGCGAGACCACGTCGGTGCCAATCGTGTAGGCAGAACCCGGCCGCACCGTCAGCGAGGGCGAGACGACGAAGTCTGTTGCATTCTGGCCGTTCAGGGACAGCGTCTCGCCGGCCAGGGTCACCGTGATGTCCGCCTCATCGCGCTTGTGCTGCTGCTGCGGCGGCGGCGGGGGCAGCGCAGAGATAGAGCCATCGCGGTTCGGACGCGATGCGTCCTCTCCGTTGGCCGGGCTGAGCATTCGCGCGCCCAGGCCGAAGAAGGCGTAATTGTCGGCGTTGGCATCGGCCTTGTTGGGGGAAAACTTGACCACGTTCTTCCATCCTGCGGTGAGTTAGCGAGGAAGAATGAATGTCCGGCGCATCGACGGGCCTGCTCACCGTAACCGACATCCCTCGTTCGCCGGACGTTTTTGATCGCATGGGTCATCTCGTGCAGCATCGTGTGATCAAACAGACTCGCTGCGTCCATGGCGGTTCGCATACCGAACAGGTCCTGGATCTTGTCGCTCGCCCGGGAGAGGATGGCTTTGGCGCTGATGTCTCTCTGCAGGGGTCAGCAGGAGCTTTTCTTTGTTTCTTCGCGCAGAGAATACATACCCAGTACCTGATCTTATACCCGTTGCTAGCTTGCAGATACCATCTGCACACCTGGATCTGGGAGACGATGCCGGGGCGCGGTGCCACTGTCCAGGCCTGTGACGCGGTCAGCCTCACATCCTCGTATGTAGATATAACCCTACGAAGTAAGAACTTACCTCGGTTTTATCGGTGTTCAGGGTTGACTTGCAACGAAGGTCGATCTGTCTCATATCCATGTCCCTCCCCAGATCGTGGTCGCAGGCCACTTTTGGGTCCTTTTGGCCGCTGCACCTCTCCCCCATGGTGTACCGAGCGTAGTCGCAGTAGATAATCACGTCGTCATCGGGCAGCGCACCCTGGGGCCGGGGCGTGGGATCGCCGGTGCCAGTCTTGTCAAAGCTCCGCACCTGCTGGAAGACGTTGATGATGTGCTCGGTATTCAGGCTGCTCTCGTCCAGCTGGTCGCCATTCATGGCTACGCCGAACACGAGTTTCATCAGGTCCAGCTGGTCCTGGGTGGCGGTGCCCGCGCGAATGGCGTCGATGATGTCCAGCGACAGCTGGGCCTGGTTGAAGGCTTCTTTCATGCCGTTGACTATGAGATCGTGGTAGTCTGTTGCATTGCATTAGCAGCTCGTCTCCATGTCGGACACTCCTGACTTACTCCATTTGCTGGTGGTGCAGGAGCCATCGAGGATCCAGGCGTTGGCCTGGCCGAGAACGGCCAGAACAAGAGCAAGACTGTTGAATGCCCTCATTTCGGTTGTATACCCTCGATACTTGACAATGAAGAATAAGAAACACGACGGTGTCTCATTGTCCCTTTATATACATATACAGACTCCTCTATACAATCCAACATATCCAACATACCAGCCTAGGTCTACATCGAGCTGCCAGGGAAAGTCAGCTACGGCTGAGATACGGCCCCATCATGCATCCAGGATGTCGTAAATCCGGTACCTGGCAGGTTAATAATCAGGCGAATGACATGTAGAAGACAACCAACCACCTGAAAGAGGTAAAGACTGCCCTAACCTGAAGGATCGTAGCGGCTCTTTATGGCTTTCAGGGATTTATTTATAGGCTGCATAGAACTTAGGGTTTTGTGCTGCTGACTAGATGTCTATCTGAAACTGAATCTTTGTAGGTAAACAAGCGTGCCTGCTCCAGGTAGTATTGATGCCGCAGGCACCCATGTCGAACTGACAGGCCATTTCCGCAAACCAACACGTCCATACATCCTCCTGCATCGTTGATTGATCCGCGGAAGATCAGCTCCGGCAGGCTAGTTGCCGTAGTGGCCGGCCTGACGGACCGGGGTGCATAATCTCTGCCAGTGACAGCTTGCACATACCCAAGAATAGTAACGCTACTGCCACGAGGCTGAGGAAGGGCGAGCGGAGTAGCAGATGGATGATTTTCTCCCGACAGTCCGATTGGTGTGCCTGCAGAAGTAACTGCTAAGAATGAACCGGCGCATGCGGACTTTAGTATAATGTAGGCTTCTAGAAGTATGTACTGTACGTACATGTAATATAAATAGCAAGATCAGTGACAAGTCTCTACGAGTATGTATGTACACGTCCAGGAAAAGAAACAACCTGCAAACCCTACCTATCCCATACAAGAAAGACTATGACCCTTGCGCAAGCCTGTTGCTTCTGCTGAAACGTGCCATCAAGTAGACATGCTGTTATTTTTTTTCTTCCATTCTATAAATAATAATAAGATCGTCACTCGTACCGTCATACATGTATGTAAAATGCCTAAGCAAGCCGATAATGTGCACATAGTATCCTAGTTATACCAACTTAGGCAGGTGGCATTCTAATGTAAAAATCTTTTTTTTAACAAGAACAAAAAAAAAAGAAATAGCGCCTTATTCAAACTTTCAGAGTGACTACACTGCTATCTCATTATGAGCGCTGGCACAATGAGTTGTTGAGAAAAAAAATAAAAACTGCTCCAAATTCCAATATTAAATAAATGAATACCAACTACTAGTCCGAGAAAAACCATGACATGAGTAATAATAATCCTGCAGTTTCAGGGACTAAAACAAAAGCTTAGTGTAGTAATTTACTTTATGTAGTCCTGTACATAGGCGCCAGGTAAAACCCAGAGATAATAAGATTGTAAAGATGAGGACTATTCGTACCTAGTAGATCTTGCAGAGTATTCCCGTATTTGCACGACGAACTTAGCTAAAGAACTACGCGAGCGAGCGTTCCTATACTGTACAGAATATTAACACTCTTTGGTAATACGTCTCCAGTTTACTTATATACCACTTGTCACTGAAAGAAACATCTTTCCGTCCTCTCCTTTTGCTTCGATATACTATATGTACTGTACTGTCTCTTTATTTCCTGTCCACAATTAGTCCACGATTAGAGGTCTAGAATTGTATCAATTAGTAACTGCCGCGCTTTCTATATATTCTCCTTATACAGATATATGTATGTATGTTGATGCGATGTCCCTGTTGGATTGACTGATTTTTTTTCTCTTATATATACCTGTTTTTAGGAGCAGAATAGTCTTTGTATCATTTACTGTATCTTTATTTTTCTTCCTTTTATTTACTTTCTTTTCTTTTTTCTTTTCTTTTCTTTTCTTTTTTTTCTTGTTTTTTCTTTTTTTTTTTTAAAAAAAATTAGAAAGGGCGCTCTCGACGGAACCCGTCTCCGCATCCCCCACTGATAAATTAAAGACAGTCAACAGAACAGGCAATGTAACTGTCTAGCAGAATCAAGGCCTCTTGTCGAGAGCATACTCTCAAATCCGACACTCCGCTCGTCTCGGCAATCCAATAGAAGCATGCGAACGCATCAGGTGTGTTGCCTAGATTTGCCTTATCCATGCTCTGTCGGAATCAATCAGAAGCTGATAACTCGTATCCCATGTTATGTTGATAGCTAGCAAGGAGCTTCGATATCAGGCAGCAGGAAAATGCATGCAGAGGAAGGAGATCAAGTCTGGCCTTGCAGTACATATTTATGAGCAGTCGGCACTTCTATACCCATAGATCCCTAAGTACAGTACATTATTCAGAGTTCCTTCCTACCGTCTCTTCTCGAGCAGTTGCACCGTATACAGACAGCACATGGCGGACCTCCCTCCAATGGAATATCGCTTATTGGGCCGGACAGGGCTCAAAGTCTCGGTCCTGGCCCTGGGCAGTTGGCTCACATATGGTGGGCATATTGACGATGGTTTATCGATATCAACTGAACTGTCTCTTTCATACAGTAACAAGAGAACCAACTGATGACCTGCAGAGACGGCGTTTGCCTGTCTGAAAGCGGCGTATGACGCGGGCATCAACTTCTTCGACACGGCAGAGGAATACGCTGCAGGCCAGGCCGAAGTCCTGCTGGGCAAGGCCATCAAAAAGTACGGATGGAAGGAGAACCACCTGGTGACTTCGACGAAGGTGAGCGAGAAAAAAAAAGACCAGCTCATCAAAACGCATGCTCATGTATATCTATCTTTAGCTCTACTACGGCTTCGCCAACGCAAAAGACCCCCGCACCCCACTCAGCAACATCGGTTTCTCATGCAAACACATCGTCGAGGGCATGGCGCTTTCACTGAAACGGCTAGATCTGCCCTACGTCGACATCGTCTTCACTCATCGCCCAGACCGCCAGACTCCGATGGAGGAGATTGTCTGGGGCTTCAACTACCTCATCCACACCAGAAAGGCCATTCACTGAGGCACATCCGAGTGGTCTGCCAGCGAGATTGCAGACGCATGGTAAATTGCCGATCGCCTGGGTCTGGTGGGACCAGTGGTCGAGCAGCCGCAGTACAACCTACTCAAGCACAAGCACGTGGAAAGGGAATATCGCTGGCTGTACAATGCGCCTCACGGGCTGGAATTAACCGTGTTCGCGCCGATCAAGATGGGCATTCTCACGGGGAAATATAATGATATGGCCGCATCTTTGCCAGATAGCAGGATGGCAGCAGGAGACAAGCTCAACGAGTTTGTCAAGAGCTTTGCCGCATCCTTTGGAAACAAAACCTGGCAGAAGAGACTGGCTGTTGTGGCAGGATTGAAACCGATTGCCAACGACCTGGAATGTTCCCTCCCGCAGCTGGCGTTGGCCTGGGTGCTGAAGAACCAAAACGTGTCATCCTTGATCATGGGCGCGTCTAGACCGGAGCAGATTGCAGAAAACGTGCGCGCGCTGGAAGTGGCAAAGAGGTTGACGCCGGATGTCATGGCGAGAATTGAGGATGTCGTCCAGAACAGGCCAAAAGAGGAGCCGTTGCGATTTGAGTAGCGGAGATTCAATTAGATCTTCGTCTATCAGACCTTTTAATAACTGGTGGTAGTCCCATGTGGGTGGGCTCTGTGGGCAGGCATCTGTAGGAAGAATATCAGTTTTAGCGCTTTTGACGACTATCGTTATGAAACAAGCAACCAAAGACTCACTCTTGCGGGATTTTCTGAAGCATTCTAACAGTGGCTCTAGTTGTCGGAGATCAGAATATTCTGCTTCAGTGAGGTCATCCTGTGGCGGAGGGAGGTATAGGTCCCCAAACAGATGATACATCTTTGGAAAGGCCGTCCTCCTGTCCACAATAACAGAAGTAGCAAATGATCTGTACAAGTGATAATGAAGACTGACTCAAATGGTGGTAGACTCTCTGCTATGTCTCAGAGGAGTCCAGAAGGATGGGATACCATACACAGGGAAGTATCTTGAAAGCGTCAAGGTGGAAGCGAGGCGTGTTGTAGAAGATTAGAAAGGTCGGATGCTAAGAAGTGGAAGATGGAGGTAGACGGGAGAAGAGAAGAGGAAATGTGAAGGTCATAAATACAAGATGCAGATGGCCACTTCCGATATCCATAGGGGATCCCGAGGGTTTTGAACTACCGTCGATCGACGGTCTATCGACCGTATGAAAAAAAATTACCTAGTAGATATCTGAAAAGAAAAGATACTCGCCAGACCATATAAAAAATCAGACGCCTTAAAAACATTGACGTCTTTAAAAAAAAAGCAAATAACCTTTTTCTTATTTTTACAACTAAGATTTAACCACTAATCAGTTTACGACTACTAACTAGTTTACAACTACTAAATTTTCTACGACGAAGGATTTATTTGATAAAGGCTAGATTCAAACTACAGCTTCTACTTTTTAGGAAGAAAATGAGTTTTTTTTTATCATTTCTATACTAATCTAACTAGGCTATCTAAGCTATCTAAATTTCCAGAGTTGTGTTAAGAGATATTATAAAGCCACATACTTCAGTGCTGCCAAAACCTGACGTTTTCCCAAAATCTAACGTTTCCCAAAATCTGACTTTTTATAATAAAAGACCGCCAAATGACTATTTTCAGACGTTTTTTTAATAAAACGATGGTTAAAAAACCTATAAAGTAGTAAAAAAGAACCCTTAAATACCGTCACCTGACGGTAGTTTGAAACCCTGGGATCCCGTAAGGATATTGTGAGATATTTCCCTTATTGGTAGGTGATCTTGGAATGGAGGTGCCGGCCCAGCGGTAGTCTTCTGACTTTCCAACAAAGAAGATTAATTAAGGGGCTTTCCCTTAGATCCATGAAAAGAGCCTACTTTTGTGAACGGAATTCTGCCCACCCTTGTCAAGGAGTTTATGTGATTATCCCTAAGAGAATCGGGTTCAGCAGGTGTTGATAACATGATTCTTGATGGGGACGTAATTTTCATGAGACTGGCCGGGTGGCGCAATGGGTTAGTAATAGCCACTACACCTATTACTCAGATTTACAATACTAACATTACTACAGTAGCGCGTCAGATTTCGGCTCTGAAGGTTGCGCGTTCGAGTCGCGTCCCGGTCGTTTTTTTTTCTTTCACTGGCTACTCCGAACTGGAACTTGGTGAAACAGGACTGGTACTGTACCGTACATACATTCATACGCTGTCGGAACAAGATGTACAACGTTACATTACGGAGTACATCGATACTTAGGGCTTAGGGCCTGGCCTGGCATGGTGTCACAAGACAGGAAAAAAAAACTCTACGCATCTACGCATCTTTGTCCACTTCAAATACTGATGATAAGCCTTTTCGAAAGCTGAGAAATCGCATGGATTTCATTTACCTACCTATCTATGATCACAAATTAATTGGCCAGTGTTGTTTGTTTGTTAGCTTTGTTTATTGTGAACTGAACTGAGCTGAACTGAATGAAGCTGTGCTACAATGCAAGTAAGTGAGGAATTTTAATAAAAAGAACTTTTTCGAATATTCTTTAATTGATTGAATGGTATTTATTTACATGACACAAAAAAGAAGCAAAAGATCCGATAAAACATGCTGTACAAGAAAGAAAGAGAGAAAGAAACAGACAGGAAGAAACAGACAGAGAGAGATGAGAGAGATGAGATGAGACGAGACGACTACCCATCTATCTCATCTGCCACCCATCTACCCATCTACCTCTACCTATATCTGTCTATCTAACTATCTATCTATCCATCTGTCTAGCTAGATGTCAATCGCAGAAGATGAGGCGAAGAAGGAAATTTGTCGGCTTACGACACGACATCCGTCCCGATCGTGGCGACGATTTCTTCGTGCCGATCCGCCTGTCCTCGGTAGGAGCGGCGGCCCCGCAGGAACCAGTCGGCTAGGATGATGACCATGACGACGCCGTACACGGCGGAGATGTAGTTCATCGCTGGAAAGGAGATGATTAGTATGGTGATATAGGAAAATATCTAGGAGGGTACTCAGTTTGACGGTCACTTACTGCCAGCAGTCGCCGGGTAGACCGACGGAAACGAGTACATGACCAGCGTGAACAGCGTCCAGGCCAACACGACGTAGTTGCAGACCAGCCCGATGGGCCCCAGCCAGAACGGCCCGTGGGTGATGTTGTTGCGGCCCTTGATCAGCAGACACACGATGGGGATCGAGTACGAGATGTACAGCAGCACGATGCACGCCGTCACCATGCTGTTGAACGCCGTCGTCGAGCCCAGATACAGCAGCCCCAGCAGTGCCACGATGAAGCAGCTGACCGTGTGCGCGACCAGGGGCACGTCCAGCTTGGGGTGGATCTTGGACAGCCACTGATGGCCTGGAACACCGCGGTCGCGCGCGAACGACCAGCACAGCCGCGACTGCCAGGTGTGCGACGCGATCAGGCACCCGATACCAGTCGCCAGCACGAGCGACTCGAGCACGATGGCGCCCGCCACGTTGTGCAGCGCCTGGTGGTACAGCTCCAGGATGGGCACGCCCGTCGGCGTCGTCAGCAGCGGCTGCAGGTCGGAGATGCTGAAGAACATGGAGATACAGTAGAACCACGAGGTGACGAAGCCGATGCCGACGGTTCCCAAAATGGCGATCGGGATGGCCTTCTCGGGCTTACCAACCTCCTCGGCCATGTGGGTGGCCGAGTCGAGACAGGCGAACACCCAGTTCGGGTTGATCAGGCCGACAATGAAGGCGAGCCCGTCCGACGCCCAGCCGGTCGAGTTGACAAAGGTCGCCCAGACGAACTTGGCGTCGGAGTGGGTGGGCGCGGCGGCGGGCACGGTGATCAGGATGACGACAAAGGAGATCAGGGAGGTATACAACGACACAGTGGCTACACGGGGCAGCACCTTGCCGACGCAGTTGAAGATGTAGGAAAACACACTGACGGCCTGGTAGGCAACGACGGTATGCCAGGGCTGGGGAGTACTATCCACGGTCATGTTAGTCTGGACATTTTCGGGACTGGGCAGGCAGACGGGCCGTACAATTCAGGATGGGCGAGCTGATACATGCCGACGCAAGCGGATCCAAGGCCCAGGGCAACACTGGCGGAGGTGAAGATGGCACCGGCCCAGGCAAACCAGCCGGTCAGGTACGAGGCAAAGTTGGCATAACGGCGCGGGGCGAGCTCGTTGGCCCAGAAATACTGGCCTCCAGCATTGGGCATGGCGCTGGCCAGTTCAGACAGGGTGACGCCGACACAGGTCGAGATGATGGCCATGAAGGGGATGCCGTAGATGGTCAGGACAGTGCCGCCCGAGTTGATACCGGTGATCAGCGATGCCGAGATACCGAACCAGGAGTTGGTCAGCGAGAAGCCCACACCCAGCAGCGACAGCACGGAGAAGTTGCGCTGCATGTCCTGGGTGTAGCCCATCTCGGCCAGCTTGAGGGCATCTTCGTCCAGGGAGCTGAGGTCGACATTGTCGTTGGCGGCGCGCGGGACGGCGCCGATCTTCTCGTCTTTACCCATGGCTAGAAGTACGGGCAGCTAGAAATCGGGCAGAGCGCGCTGGGCAGTCAAAGAAAGAGTCGAGTTTCCGGGTGAGAGTCTGGGGGAAAGGTCCGGGGAAGGTCCAAGGGCTGAAATCCACGGGTCAACAGTCCACAGGTCAGCAATCGCAGGGCACCGATGGGCAGGATTGGCGCATATGGGCTTGCAGCGTGAAACCGGGCGAGAACAGCGGGATAAGAGCAATCAGCGAGACAGAAGCAATCCACCGGGTTGTCGCGAGGGCAGGCGAGATGCGGAATGCGAGGGCGTCCGCCAGGTCAATGGCAGCACACTACTCTGATACAGTACTGTACGCAATCGCAGAGCGAGCAAAGAGACACAAGAAGGACCGCTTGTTGATCTGCAGTTAGGAACAGAACAGCACGACAAAAAAAAAAACAGACAGGACAGATTGGACTGCTGCGGTGTCGGCCGTGGCCAGGACCACCAGGTCGAGATCCGGCGCGACAGGCAGGCGAGACAGCGAGACAGAGAGACAGAGAGACAGAGAGACAGAGAGACAGCAAGGGAGACGGTAGCAGCGAGGACGGGATGCAGCAAGGGCGCGCTGCCGCCTTTTTACACTGCGGGCGACGTCAAAAATTTGCAGGAGCCCATGAGGGAGATAAGGCGTCTATCCAAGGAGCAAGTTTTAGCGACTGTCATGGCAGCTGCCCTATCAGGCACGTGCTCAGACTCCACCCGCCGCAGCTCCGCTCTGACGGCGCAGAGCCCTGCCAGCGTCTGCCAATGCAGCGGCCAGGATACCGCCGGTCTGGAGCAGTCTGCTGCCAGCTGCGTAATCATTGTGCAGCGTTCTCTTATCTCTCTTCTTTTTGCTTTTTCTTTCTTTTTTCCTGCGTTGCATCGACAGAGCAGCAGTCGATGCTGTCAGCGAGGGGCGGTCGGCGAATGACCTCATCGCCTGCAGCCTGCGTGTGCGGCGCCTCTGATTGGCGGGGACCCGCGAGCTAAGACTTATTAAAAATTTTTCAATTGGCTGTCGCCGCTAGCGGCCCCCACTGCCTGAGCGCTGATTGGTGGTCCATGCCGTACCTCCGCCAATCAGGGCAGGCTAGATTATTACTTGCCGAAGTGGATCTCGACCGGCTATTGTCGCGCCGCCAGGAACGGCAACCATGCGGGTCCAGTTGCCCTTTCGGGCGCGGAGCCAGCGCATCGTATTTCCTTGCTGTCAGTCCTGGGCTGCTACGTACGGTACAGAGTAATCGGTACGTAGTCCTAGCTGGGTACTGAGATACCTACGTAGGTATCTGCTATGGTCCAATGCCAGTCATTCTGTAGACTTATCTCCCAGTTCGCTGGACTGCCCTCTGCTGACTCACCGGTACCAGACGGAGTGATGTCGTGGGTCGGATGGGGACGCAGTATTCGATTTTATTTCATATAATATTTATTATGAGCAGAGTATCCCAGCGACCATAGCATGTCGTATACGGTGGAGGCAATGATTGGCCCAGACGGACGGTACGGTATGGTACGGAATCGTATGGTACGGACGTACAGTACCATTGGCCGGCATACCTACCTGCCTATCCGGGTAAGGAAGGCGGCGTCAGAGCGTCGTTCCACCAGGCAGATCTGTGCGTGCATGTGCTGACAGCTACACTGGGATGCAGATAGCTTCCTGCTGGATGGTACGTACGTGTATTACCAGAACAAGTCGCTTTCCGTCTGAAGCCATAGACCTAAGTCATTAATACTACTGCCGACGAATTTCAAGCTCAGCAATAGGAAGAAGATTGCACTGATAAAGTTCTGTTTTTCTCTCTACACTCTAGATCTTTTTTTTTTGACCAGACGTTCCATAAACTCAGGATTCGAGCAGCCATATTATATTAGTTCAACAGGTCGAAATAAACACAAGATAGCATGTCTGCAGATAGCTTTTCCATATCAGTGCAAAATGTGACACGGGACAGATATTATCTCTTCTGAGCAGTTTACCATCGCAATAGCCAAGTTTTGGTCAGTCTTGTTGTTGTTGAGGCGGGGAAAGTACAGAGCCATGATCTGCTCGAACTATTGGAATTCTGCAAATTCATCGTATTTAGATAGCGGGTCCCCAGTTCGCTAGCGTTGTTGTCAAGAGACATATCATCTAGATCATCACGGTTGGTCCTTTCTTTGCTTTTTGAATAGAGAGAGTCGGCCTCCATGTCATCCGACTCAACTGTTTCTTCACCATCAATCATTCGCGTGTAATAATATTTAGGTGGCGGCGTTGGTATTGGATTGTTAGCAGTTTTTGAGAATGAACAGAGCTGAATCTCGATTTGGAAATGACCTAGAGAGGATCCTCTTTGTCCCTAGTAATATTAAAGTAATCTACTAGTTATTGTCCCCTTGCCCATGTGAAGCGTTTAGTCAAGATAATTGAGGTGCCAAAGAAAGGACAAGTGTTATCTTGCCACTTTTATCTAACCACAGCAGGTTCCAAAAAGCAACAGTCTTAATAAACAGTAGTGCAAACCAATGATAAATTGCTTATGAAACAGGCAGTGGTATAGAAAACAAGAGTGCTTTTTAGTCAGCAAACTGGCCAAGTGATGGCCTGTTTTCAATTGAGACACTGATGAAGTAACAGTTTTAAATCTTCCCTTGTTCTCATTAAGTGCTGTGATGTAGATATTTCCGCGCCCTTTACCTCACTGGACAAGAAACCTATTGTCATATAGTGGTGCCTGAGTCTCCTAACTGTACCTCAGGCACCCAGCCTAGTCTCAGCTTGCTTAGCTTAACAGTCTCGGCCGCAAGCCATCTGATAGAGTATCCAATCAAAACAAGCTAAGACTCTAATCCATAGATGTATATATGTTGCCTGTCCTCCCAACACTTTGTACATCTGAAGAACTGTCGACTTCCAGCTGTAATGACCATTCAAGTTGTGGTCATCTTCATCTTGCTTGATGTTGGATAGAAATGATGTTTGGTGTGGGCCCTGGATGTGATGGATGAGTTATTAACAATTCTGCAATTTTGGCTGCATTATTAACACCTACAACGCATATTGGATTGTTGAAAGCATGCATGACGCCGAATTATGTCTTGTACCTAACATGCTCACTGTGGAGACCTCAGGGAACTTGACTTTCAGGCTTGTCTGTTCTCATGCCATTCAACCTCTGAGTCGAACCTTCAGCAGAGATCGAATGTCGAGTCAGGCCCTGACGATGGCTTCTGTATGCATCCAGGGAGATGATAGACTTGATCTAGCTCTCCTTGCTGATCCTGTGCTGCACTTATAGGCTGGTGTGAAATGGGCCGGACTTGATTACCTTCACGGTGCCTTGACCTAAATATTTGGGCAGTTCGAGATGGTATCCTCTACATCCCAGTCGTCGTGAATGTCATGGCCTGATCGTAGAATAGGACCAGCTTGTTGCCCTTTTCGCCTTCCAGGATAAGTTCTCGGTCTAGATCAAGGTCAATGAATTTCGTGACCTTTCCGCGGACACTAGTCAATAGCAATTTCTTATTTTCTAGAACCTATCTCCGTAATCCTTCGTCGTAGAGGTACCTGGGAAGGTATATTGACAGCCTCAGCCACAACCTTTGCTTATGTGCCCTTACCTGGATAAGGACAGGCTGCAGGTATATGAACAATCTTGCCCCAGGGCCATTGGAATGTATCTTTGGCACTTTCTTACTTTTCTTTTAGCTACAGCAAACCTTGGCTCTATCTTTGAAAATCATCTTGATTGCACTGGCAGGAAGGATTTCGTGGAAGTGGTACAGCAGGACTGTTTGCCATGAGTCATCGAGAGCCCGCTTGGGGTATGTCCAATCACTGTTGGAAATACCTGCAATACTTGCAGGAGTTCCAGATTGCGCAAGTAAATTCATCTAAGCATTATCTATCAGGTTGTCTATCCAAATTTTGTCTTATAAAACTTCTATTTAATCCCCATCAGTCATACATCATAATGGAAAGTGTTCCTATTGACTATAATCTTTTACCAGGAATTGTCCCTGGACTCGCCACACAAAATCTTTGTCCATGGCAACAATGACCATTGACGAGCTTCCATTTCATAATCAACATTCCAGCTCCGATCCTACTCCTGTAAGCCTGTCTGTCTCTCCGAAAAGAAGCCGAAATCCAAAACTCCCAAGTTTCTTGTTGTATTGTCACACGACAAACCCATTGTCAGACCGTATGGACAGTCCATGCTCAGACCACATGGCTGCTCCATCTTCAGGTCGGATGGGGGGTCCATTGATGTATGACAATCACGTGTATGGGTTATCCATAGGTATGTGTAGTCTGGAGCACCCTTGATCATAGCTCTGTCAAGCATCTTCCATACAGAATGAATACGGCATTTCCACGCTACACTTGTGGTCATAAGCTCTGTGCAGACCAGTCTTCAAGAAGTGGATCAAAATACTTAGCCATGTGGTGCATATGGCTCCCGCAAAGCTATAATCAATAACCTTATGCAGAAGATGCACATTGAGGAGACATGATTGACATCGATAATGATCTGTCGACAGTTAACTCCTGGATAAGTTCCAACCCCAACCCAAACTCTGATTTGAAGAGTTAATGGGAGGCTGGCGGACTAAACCAGACACGGTAACAATGGAACGAAGGAGTTGGGTTTTTGGGAACCAGTTTGAAGGGAGACGTCAAGGAGGTGAGCTTGTTTTTACATTTACCTGAAGTAATCTGATTGTTTGCGACAATGATTCAGATCGATGACCTGACATGTATGGAAAGAGGGCGATTTGCATTCTTTAATTATCATGTGGATCGTAAACGTAAAAGGAGAGGAAATAATTATTTCTCTCTCCTTAGTAACCATTACGGAACTTTGGATATTCATCTTGGCAACTTGTAATAGTAGGTATGCACTGGCTTATGATGATCAGTAATCACAGCTATAAATCTATACGAATAGATAAATGCGGGTAGATATATGCTGGTAGAAGATTATTAATCGATACCTGTTGATCTAGTATTTTTTTTCCACATAGGAATCGCTTCACTGAGTCGGCGTCTTCCAGACTTGCTGCTTACCAAGGCACATTATTATGTCAAATTGAACCTGTCTTGCCTAGCACTTGCACCGGTTATTTCACGGCTTTAACATTTGCAACAGCAAATAATGACGCACAATAGAGGTCGACTCGCGAAATATTCATATGAGACTATCAGCTCTGATAATAGGAAATATGTCTGGAATACGAAGCACTTGGGGACAGATCCACTGAATTTATTTAACCCGCGATGAACAGCACGACTGCATCTGCGTCCACTGCTATGGAGATCAACCATCGATATTAATTCAGTCGCGTTGAAGAGTGAGAGATCATTGTGCAAATATTACAGCAATCTGACTTATCGATTAACACCTTGTGAAAATATCGAGTTCCTAGGAGGAGCCATTAGCGTGTACGAAATCCTTTCGAAAGATTCTGGACCTTGAAAAAAAAAAGTTGTGTGAAAGTATGAAAGAAATGCATTCCTTGTCTATCCTGAGCATGGAAATCTTGATCTATCTCAGAGCCACAGCAAGCGAACCAGACAAAAACACCAAAAAAAAAGCCAAAAAGCCAAAAACCGTCTATCTATACCAGAGCAATTTCAACCAAGAAAAACAACAGCAAAACCCCGTATTCTAGGATATCCCGCACCGATGAGCAATATCCCATACCCATGAGCACAGAATTCCCATCATGTCAAGCAAATCCAGTCCAGCGAGTTCACACAGCGAGTTCACCAGTTCAGTGACGTGGTGGCTTCGCTCAGTGGATAATACCCTTTGCCTTCAGGACTTGACCAAGCTGAGCAAGCTCAGCCTGACTCAGGCCATTGTACAGCAGAGACGCGGAGCCCATGACGATCGGAACAGGACCACCCTCCTGAGTAGGGTGGCCGGTAACCAGAGTCGCGAGATCCATGCAAGCGGGAGGAACGCCGTCAGCTTCAACGCCTGTCGGAAAAACCTGTATCATTCATCAGTAATATAGGAACAGTTGCAAACGCACCATTGTTAGGCTTTCCTTTCAGATAGATTTTCTCACTCTTGAGCTGGTTCTCGCACTGCTCCCAGGCTTGCTCAGACACGCCCGGCGGGAAACCAGCCGGGACGCCACGCTTGTGTCCGCCCTTGCTCTTGGCTGCTGCAGCGCTAATGCCACCAGCGATGGCACCGCTGGCCATACTGGCGACAGCAGAGTCAGCGGCGGTGATAGCCTCAGCAGTCATGCCCAGGGCGGGTCCGAGAGCAGCGGCGAATGGAGCTGGGCAGTATTGCACCAGGGAGAGGAGAGCAGCGGCAGAGATGGCGGCGAGGCTGAAGACGCGCATTTTGATGGTGTGGTTGGAGAGAATTGGTTGTTTTGTTTGTTTAAGACGAGGAAAGAGGCAGGAGAAGTAGTTTGAAGAGATTTACTTTGTGACTGTAGAAGCTGTTGTTGTTTTTGTTGTTGCTGTTGTTGTCGACTGGATGATGGTGTTTCCCCTCGATGCGAAAGGGGTTTATATAATTCATGTCTGCACCACGATCATGATGCCAAACAGTCAAGATTGCATCTCGATCAAGCTATCCGAAGCTATTGCAGAGTGAATGATTGGGGCCAGCATCTCAGGATCAAGGAATCCTCCCGAGATTGCCTGAGGAGGGCAAGATGGGAGTCCATGATGGTGGAGAGAGCCAAGAAACAAGCTCCACCGCTTCGGAACAGACAGCTGGTCGTTGTGGAGTGCTGAGCTGGCGAGCAAGCTTAGGGGTGGGTTCCTGAACCGGTGATGATAGAAAATGATATTTCTAGAAGGAATAGTGGGCTGTTCCTGAAGAACCAAATCCAGAATGGGCAAGGAACGGACATGGGGGCTGGCGCCACTGTCGTCGTTCCGTCAACCTTAAAACGAGTATAGTTTTGACAGGCTGTCAGCCACGCGGGGTGAGCAGCAGCCTATTCGTCGATTCTGTAACCTGGGGGCCGGAGGGCTGCAGAGCACACGCCTCCCCATCGTTCATGTGGATCCCCTGCTTTCTTTGACGTCATTCGATTTGTTTATTCTTGCATCAGGGGGAGTTGACCAATTGCTAAAACAGGAACATGGCTACGATTGAGTTAAGTGGCTCAAACTCTGCTCGAACCATCCCCGGAAAATTAATAAGCTATTAATAACACGCCAGAGGCCGTTCCCCCCCGGAATATTAACAATATCTTCATAATACACTGAAAAAGGAAAGTGATAGCATGACCCCAAGCATCTTGACTTCCGAGGCTTTCTAGAATCCCAGCCCCTTCCTCAGTGTGTATATCATATGACGATCGAGAAAGACGAAGGATCGGATATCCACAGTCTATCCAGATTAAATAGTCCTTGGGGCTGTTTACCTTAATGCTATGCTTAAGCATGCTGGATCTAAAGTAGATCTAGAGTTGAAACTTATCGGCCATACCTTACGTACAGTATGTAGTCGGATTGTCCACTCCATCACGTCTGGAAGTTCCATCATTTTATAGCACTAAGGACGGTCCGTAGCTAGTTTGGAAGGATCGTCGCTCCTCACACACACTTGCAGGTTAGGAATCTATCTGCCCTAATTCCATTATTCTTCCAGTACTAGGATTGCCAATCTCCGCTAATCCCCACAGAATTCTTCCATCCTCCTTCCATTCTGGACCCCAAGGCATCAAACTGGTGGAGCTGAGCTCATTTGGTTATCACAGATAGACTCCATCATAACCTTGTGCTGTGAGCAGACGTTAAACTTCAACTGATTTATCTGGCTTGGGATCCTGCCCTCCAACCCTGTCTATCCAGCCAAGACAACAGCAGAGTCAGTTCCTTGACTCCAAAACATGTATAAATAACCCCATCTAGTAGATTGATCTCCCTCTTCGTCCCCCATGCCACGATCTTTCCACTTCCAAACCATAACTTTCCCATACCTAGCTAATTGACATTCATTCCCTTACTATCAAAAATCATCAAAATCATCAAAATGAAGCTCGCATCCGCCGCCGCCGTCTCTATCGGCACCCTCCTCGCCCTCCTCCAGCTGACGCCCGCTCCTTTCAACGCCATTGTCATTGCCCTGGACTGCGGTGTCGCTGGTGCCGTCACGTCACAAATAATCGGGCACACTGTGGGCAAAAAGGGCGGCAAGTATGACGAATCCATTGACTTTGTGGAGGAGCGCGATCAAGATCCGTTTGCGGGCCTGCCGCAGCCCGCCGCCGATGAGTGCAAGGCCCAGCTCAAGGGCGCCAAGGTGAACTTTAAGTCTCTGGGTCTCTTTAGAAGTGGTTTTCTTGGTTATTCTCTTTAGAAGTTGTTTTTTTTTTGGTTAATGCAGAGCAGACCTGAAGCATAGGTTTATGCTTAAGTAGTGGTTACAGCCAATCAGACTGATAGAGCAGACAATTGGTTTGTTGGTTTCTGTACGTCATCAAATAGGATTACTTTGAAGAAGAAGCCAACCAATACGAGACTGTTATTTATGCCATATCCAATGACAAAACTTCATTTATTATAATCTTTCTCCTAATCAGATTGCAATGAATTGCCGTTTGGGGGCTGGATTCTCTCCACTCGAAAACTCCAGTAAGAAGAGCAGAGCACTGCTAAAAGATTCATTCTCCTGCCGATCGATGGCCATCTGACCCACGGCATATGCCCTTGACGATGATGATCTGATAGGTCTGCAGATTTTTCGCCGGGATATAAGGCATCCATGATCGACGGGATGGTTGTCTCTACATGCAGACGAAAGGGGTAGAAAGGCAGGATTTAATACCTGCCTGGTCCACAGAACAGCAGATCTCTTGATAGGCTGGGTCATGGATTCTAAAATTATAACAAGAACCACAGCGAGGGGATAACATTCTGATTCGCGGTTGGAGCATGGCATCGCACTTGGAGTCTATGTATGGATTTCCCGATCAAGCGTTGGTTAAAGATGATCACTTGAATTTGCCAATAAGAACTTAGCCCAGCAGTCCTTGGTCCACCAGGCGGTGCTGTGATGTGCGTTTAAGCGTGCGGGGGCCGTTATCATCCAAGATAGAATAATCCAAGTCTATTATTAAACTAAAATACATGTTGCTCTCCTCATGCTTACCAAATCACGATAAATTCCCGTCCAAGAAATATCCTTATTATTACTCAATCTCACAATTCTAAATCCTGCCAACATGTCCAGCCATTTCAGGAAAAGCAACATGAGCAACAAATCCCTCCAACCCCCTCTCCACCCCATCGCCATCCGGGCAGAGCACATCGCCCAACGCGAGACTGCTCGAAGTCCGGCCCAAGTGCGACTCGCACGCGGCCGACGACTACACCATCAAAGACGACGCCGACGGCTCGACCCTCTTCACTGTCACGGGCACCAAATTCGGCGATCGCTCCGCGCGCGAGTTCCGCGACCGATCGGACCTGCCGCTCTTCGAGCTCCGGCGTGCGCTCGCCTTGCGACGGCCGCTGCGAGTCCGACTGCCGGGCAACGACAAGGAGGAGCTCGTCGAAGTGAACCCGAAACGGCCCTTGGGGAACTTTGATCTCACGTTGCGGAACGCTGCTGCGACAGATGCCAAGAATGAGGCTGACAGGACGGTCACGCTTGAGGTCCATCAGACGTCTCCCGCCTTCTGGTTGACCTTCGAGGTCATGGCAGGTGACAGGCAGGTGGTCGACGTGCGCGAGAGCGTGCAGAAGAATAAAACGATTGGCACGCTCCCCCATGAGTGGCCCAGGTTGCCTCCGCCTCGGCAGGTGCTGGATGTCCGGGTGGCAGAGGGGTCGATTTGTCGCTGGTGAGTTGCTCGAGGTTATCATTTGGTTTGACTCTGCTGGGACTGACTGTATAGGCGACGCTGGTTGCGGTGATTGTGTCCGATTGGCATTATAGCGGCAACCGACGAGGGACGTAGGTTATTCATGGAGATACATTGATTGATCATTCATTATTCTCGCAATGTTGCTTCTAGTTTCTTTAATTGTATTGCAATAGCAGATAGATAGAGTAAACCAACATGTCTACTTTCAAATATTACATGATCTAAGGTACATTACGTCTTGATATTACATCCCCATCGTGACACAGTAAATCTTCGGATACTCCCACTTGGGCACGCTCCAGAAGAAAAACGCAAGAACCCAGGCAAAGCCCAATACTTTGGCAACTCCATTCCTCCTCCATCCTTCCCAGACCGTCCCCCACCCAGACGTCTTAGCGGTGGAGCGCATCCACCTCCCCACCACCGTTTCGCCCGTGGCGGCGACAAAATTCAGCGCGAACCACCTCGTATCGCGCCAGTAACTGCACCGATTCCCGGTCTGCCAGGTGACCATCGAATGGGATAGTCCTGACAAGAGAAACACAAACGCAGGCACAAACACCTTTTCGGCGGCGGATCCCGCTGACAGCCGCAACACCTGTCGCGACGCCCACACCCCGTAGCTCGTGTACGGCCGGTACACGATCCGATGCCAGAACCGGCCCCAGAACCGCCGGATACTGTATGCCTCAAGCGGGCTGCCGAAGAGCGGCGGCCACTCGTGCGGCTCGTCCCACCGCAGGATGACCGCGAAGAGAATGGCGACTCCCGTGTGCGCATACTCGATGCCGATGACGTTGGCCCAGATCCAGCGGACGGCAAAGATTGTCCGGAGCAGGGTCTCGCGGACAGTCACCGCGGGGGCTTGGGAGAGCAGGAGCCGGCGGAAGTAGACTTCCTGGTCTGGAGCGAATTCGACGATGGAGAATGGCTTGAAGGCGTCAGGGAAGATGCGCGAGACGAGGTAGGTGTTGATCAGGTAATACACCAGCAGTTTGGAGAGACGCCTCAGGACGAATGCGGTTCTTGAAAGCTTGTTCTGCTGCTGCTGCATTCGGGGAGCGTTGGGCACCTCCTGGGGCGTGTTGAGGAGTCGCGGGTTTCCCCAGATCTTATACGCGGCGTGCAGGTCCCATTGTTTTGGATTTGGCAAGGTCCATTTCTCGATGTAGAGCACCGAAGTGATGTGGATAACGTAGATGATTACGACAAACCCCCAGAGATGGTTGAGAAGCGGCAGAAAGGCGAGGTAGTTGAGAGTGGTAAAGGAGAGGATTGCCGGGAGGAGGATGGCCGGGAGGAAGTAGAGACGATAGCGCTGCGAGACATTCAGCGCGACGCAGGAGATGAAGCTGGACAGGATAAACGATGTCACTGGAATCAAGGCCGGAAGGTAGGCGGTGATGGCCGGCATGGTGAGTGCTGGTGGTTATCCTGTTCTGCATCGCTCTCCACCGGCGTGATCACCTCCTTCTATATGTTTCTTCGTGATACACATCTGCGACAGGCTTCTGTTTTTCCAACCAACATAATCCTATTTTTACCATCCCCACATATGTTATGTCTCGCCCCCATTCGGATTGGATCCACCTGTCTCCAACAATGGGGCGATCAACACGTTAGATCCACTGCGGTGCCGGCCAAAAGCTTGAGTCAGCCTTGCCATGCCTTAGGGGGCGAGAAAGTGGAGCCATGATATGATCTCTATCTTGGCTTGCGTTGTTGTGTTGCTCAATAAAATGATAACGAGGGCGTACTCATAAAGACTTGTCGACTCGACTTCGACCTTCGACTGTCACCTGTCGACCTGTCCAACATCTTGTTTGATGACATCTCTGTCTATCCTACATTGAAGAGGTATTACCTGGTATCCCTACCCCAGAGAAATTGGATATCCTTAGCTAACATTATCAGTCCGAAGCTATCATTCCACATCTCTACAAGATGCCTCGCCCATCAGCCAAAGACCCCTACACCGACTCCTCGTCCCTCGAGTCGCAATCACGCCTCAAGAAGCGAACAGGATACTTTCGACAGCTTACATGGAAGCAGATCCTTCTGCGAGGACTCATCTCGGTTTTGATCGGGTTGACTGTTGGCGCGATTGTGGGGGTGATTGTCCGCTATGCGTGATTCACGGAATAGAGAAGTAACGAGGCTGGACCGAGTACTCTGGGAATTTTGTCGATATTGAATGATCATTCTGTTGTTTTGTGATATGAGCATGGCATGATACTATGATGTTGGAATTGTATTTAATAGGATTTCTGTCAGATTAGATTGTATATGCCGGGAAAATGAGATTCTATTTGCCATTAATTATATTCATACCAGGGTATTTTATAACTGATGATTTTGTAATATCTCGACATTGTTCGAGAAATGTCATGTAAGGAATGTCGCCTTGAAGACATAGAAGAGCCTTCGTAGAAGATTCTGCGAATGGGTTGGTATTCACCCATTGTGATCTTTGCCTCTTTGCCAAAAAAAAAAAAGAATAGGCAGTAATCCCCCCTTAAGAAAAGAAAAGCGAAAGAGAGAATGAGGGAGATAAGGTCTGCGTTGTCACAGAAATTGTTGACTGAGAAAAGTAGCAGTTTCTACGGTGAACACTCTTACACTCCAAATATATGAAATTGGCAAGAGAACCAACATACGGAGTATGCATAATAAAGAGGAAGATGACTAGTACAAATTCTTCTGCGTTGCACTGTCCAAATTTCCGGTGCATTGGCTTATGGTGGCCTTTAGGGGAATTCTTTTCGAACAACCTGAGATTAAATTTATTTATAATTTATATATTTTTATACTACCTATCTTTTAATTATGATTACTATCCCTCAACATAATATATCAACAGGATCACAAACATCCGACACTGAGAGGCTATACATGCATAATCGACCAGCAGAAAATATATATCTTCCTCGCACTAAGAAAATATATATATCTGTCATCTTCCCTCCTACTTACTACGTAACTCTACCCCTATAACAACTACCATTAAACTAATAATATCATACGCCTTTATAATAGGCAACAAGCTCAAGAATTCGAATTAGATAGAACTAGAGTTCTAAAGGCTATCTTCTCTATAAGCCTATATATTCTGCTTTATAGATAAAGCCAAATAGCTTGTGAGAACGGAGAGCCTTACTGGCAGCCTAACTAACTGGTCTTAGCGCAGTGGGCTAAGGCTAGTGCTCAGCAGTTTATGACTTTATGTTAATGCAAAAGAATGCTTGATTGGTCTACGTGGCATTTGGGGCCGCAAAACATTACTTATATACATGCCAATTCGGCTGTTCCCACTGACACTTAGAGATATTGTTTAATGAGACTTGGGATCTTATAATCTTTTTCTATAAAATATTAGCTAGTAGGATCTTAGAGTAAAACCAAGGACTTGTTATTAATCCATATATTTCTCGATTGTGTTGCGTGGATATTAATAGAGCTGGAATCTCTGAGAGCATTGCTGGCCCTTTTTAACAGCCCTCAAATACACTTTTATGTGTACTACTGCCTGTCTCTAGCAATTATTTCTTTGGACACTTTTATCTGCAAAGCAGAGCAATAAGCCACATTATTCTGGCATGCAATCAAAGCACTTTCATGTGCACTTAAGTAACAATAGGGATAACGAAAGCATGACCAAACATGACCAACATGTCCTCTCCTTTTCTACAGCACTCTGCCAACGCTAAGTTGCTTGGGAGACCCCCTACCTGCTGTTATTTCTATGGCTCAGTCTGCCTAAGTCTTAGTAATTTCATCATTATTCCATTTTGGTCTGATTTAAGAACAATGTGCCAAAGGAGGGCAGGGGGAATCCCCTCGCTTTCTACTTTCGCCTATTATCTTCTTTTCTAGACCGCTGGAGAAAAGTGCTTTAATTTAGTATATGGTGCTGCCTTAACATTTTCGCTATTACTGAGATTGCAACAGAGGTATGAACTTTCTCTCACATTTATGGAACATTTCTAAGGTTCTGCTTTATTGTCTATAGATCTTAGATAATACTAAGCTAGCTGACGTCGATAAGGCTGGCTAAATCCACTGTAGAGTCTAAACCAACAGAGGCGTCAGTTACCCCAGATATCTTCAATGTTGGATTAACCTTCCTCCAACCTGTGAGCTAATTTTTTTGCCCCCAACTTGTTGACTGCCACTTGGGCATTGCTGCTCCCTCCTTCATTCGAGATGGCATCATAATCGTCATCCCTGCATCCTCTTCATCTACAACTGCGCCGCTTCGATGTTGATGCTTCTTGGCCACCCATCTCCTCCACGGCTTGTATATAAGCACACTCAACCCACCTATAACAACAAAACATCCGCAGATCGAACCGCCAATAACATCATAATAGTCTCCGGCCGTTTGCACTCCGTCCCAGAATTTACCAGTTGGCTTAGCAGCATTGAGCACCAGGGTGAGCAGTTGAATCACGCCAATCACAATGGCGACCATGACAGTCAGGCTCGTTAAAACGATCGAGTAATAGGATTCCTTTCTCAAAGTGGAGATTCAAATAGAACAAAGATTTAATCTCTCACAATATCATGAACGAATCGCGTTGACGAGGCCAGCCTTAAAGCGGCGATGTTTGTGATACCTACAGACGTACTCGTGATAACTTTTTTATCTCTTGTAACACCTCCTTCCACGCTCTGTACATGTAGAAATCTCCTCAGAAAGATATCCCCAGAATAACGA